TGCCTTCTCCAACACATGGCTCCCAAGGTCACCATGGGGGTTGTCTTCATTCCAGACAGTCAGGCAGGGAAGGGGTATGGAGCAGCACACATGGAGGGTTTTATGTGCCAAAGACTATTTAATGTAACTCAGATGTAGTTATGTTAAAGCTGGTTCTGGGAAGTTTTCCTTCATATCTCTGTTATTTCAGAAAGGGTAGAGTTAGAGGAATCTGATGCTTACATGCAATTAAAACTCATTTATTCAAAATGGAAAAGAGCTTTTGAATTCTAGCAGGTTAGAGATAAAAATGGGTATGATTAAAGTTTAGAGAATCAGTGCAGGCAAAAAGAAGTTGACTAGATCACAGACCCCAAAATTAGGTTGCTGCCTTTGAATACTGTTCATAAAAAGTTATTCTAAGGCACATTAAGGCAATAGAGTACCCTTTTGGAATAATTATAAATGCATTAACTACCACTGATTAACACTATGTGATAGAGGCTTACACACATGATTTCATAGCATACATAGGGTGGTGATTGCTTGTACTGGCTCTAGGGCCAAAGCGTCCAGGTTTGAATTCTGGTTCTTCCAACTTACTAGCTGAAAAATCGTGGACTAACATTTAACCCTTGCCTGACTCAGTTTCCTCCACTATAAAATGGAGGTAAGAATAGTAATCCAGGTGATGGGGTTCATGTGAGGATTAATGAATTAAAAGTGTAAAGCCCTTACAACAGTGCCTGGCACACACTAAGTTTTGATCACCATAATTCTTTACCCATTACCCATTAGGCTATTGTATGGAAATACAGTATTAGAAATATTCCGCTGGGTAAGAGACTTTCCCAGGGTCCCACAGCTAGCAATTGGTAGAACTGGTTGCTAGAAAGTAAGTCTGTTCAAATTAAAACACCAGTTCTTCCCACGATGGCAGGCCATAAGTGAATTATAAGAGACTGGGCTATATACCATAGTTTTCTAGGGAAATTGGGAATATTTATATCATACTGTGGTTGAAAGCAGGGAGAAATTGCTCAGGTCTAAGTTGTAGGTTCTAGAAGTGACTAGCATAGTGGTGAAGAGGCAAGTTCTAAAGTCAGTGTTCTTTGGTCTCAATCTCACTTCTAATCTGTGTGAGCTTGAGCAGGTTAATTCATCCCTCCAAGTCTCAACTTTGTAATTAGTAAAATGGGAGATAATAATATTGTCCACCAGATCAGCTGGGAGTAACAATATGGCTTACGCAATAAAGACACTTATCAGGAAATCTAGAAATGGTCAAAGAGTTAACAATCTCATGAAGGGCCATATTTGCATATTTCTATTTGGCCATTCTTTTTACACAGCAATGTGCTGCGGAGAGAGAGAGAGGGTCGGGGGAGAGAAATGCTTCCCTGAAGCCCTACCTTTCTAATTCATTGGCCAGATTTGGATCTCTTCACCACCTCCTAAACCAATCAAAGACTAAGGAGAATAGGATTCTATAACTGGTTTAGACCAATAGACCAATAATTGTTCATTCCTTGGGAAAAGGAAGGGGCCACCTTCCCCAAGCATCTGAATCAAATCAAGGTGTCCTTACAAGAAAAAGAGGGTGGGAGGGTGCTGTTGAATAGTAAGCATTATGTTATTGAGTGTCTGGGAGGTGCTTAGCTTAGCGCTCTGGCCTATAGTGAATACTCAGTAAAGATTAGCTTTGCCAACTCCCTGAGGCTGACATTCTGGAGGGCAAATCTGTGCTCTCACAAAAAAACAGAAACACAAACAAAAACAAAACCCCAAACACAGAACTTTCTATTGTTTTAAAAACAGAACACTGAACTTGAACTTGATGGATCATAGGCCTGGCTCACACAATTTTGGATGTCCCTACAGGTCCCTTTTCCTGACAAAAATCCCCACACTTTAAAAGTATTTCTGCCTTGTATCCTTACCCAGAGGTGTGGAAAATGAGGGGGTTGAACCAACCTGCCTCAAGCCTCATCAAACATGTTGAAGAGATTTATCCCATAGCCTTCCTGGATCAAACTGCATCCTCTTGCTGGCACAGGAAGTTCTGGGAGCCCATGTTTGTCTTGAAAGACCAACACTCTTCAGAATTCTACAGCTCTCTTCTCCTTATACGCACATTCACAGAAACAGCTGGGAAGGAACAAGAATACTATACAAACGACTCAATCAGCTATCGCTACCATGACGGTATCTAACAAATGACCCTCTCAGTAACATTCAACAATGAGCATCTATTGTCATGTTCACAAGTCTGCAGGATGACTGGGTTTTGGCAAATCTAGGATGGGTTCTATTGGATCATCCTCTAACCTGGAGATTAGGCCTTGGTCTGCCTCATATGGCTCCCTGAAATATGTTTATCTCATGGCAATGGCAAGAAACCCAAGGGGGCAAGCCCAACCTCACAAGCATATTTTAAGCTCTTGCTCATATCACATCTCCTAACATCCCATTGGCCAAAGCAAGCGCTACAGCCCAACATCAATGGGGTGGATAATTCACAGGCATCTAGTTGAAAACTGCAAGGTCACATGGCAAAATGTGTGGATACAGAAAGGGGCAAGGAAAAGAACATGGAAGGCACCACGAAGAAGCTAGGTCTACCTTTTCATTTGGTCACAGCCCATCTCTAATCCTCCAAATTCCTCTTCTAGAGGGCACAACTCTTGTCGGTCTTGCCTTCCTTAGCCACTCTGGTGGGTAAAACCTATTTGACCAAGAATCCTTCCTGTAGATCATGGAGAGATTGCAAGGGGAAAGAAAAGACAAATAAAGAGAAAAGACAGAATAGGAAAGCGAAAAGAACCACTCTGGTAGGATCCATTGTAAGGACAATTGAGAAGCCTGGAGGCAGTCTTGTTGCATCCTCTAAAGTAAGGAAAAGCAACATGGGATCGTGCCTGGTGACTTCTGCAAGGTAACTGGCAAACCAGGGCTGCCAGGCTGAGTTTTACTCAGGTTTTAGTTTAGGGACATGTGATCCAGATGAAACAAGTCAGTCTTTACAGGGATTCTTTCTAGCAAGTGGCTTCCAAGGACAAGGTGAGCCCCCCACCCCCCCCAAGAGAGCACGAGTCAGGGGTCATGTTCACCAGGTTAACCCTGGTGATTCTTATAGTGCGTAGTATATAGCTGGTGATCAACACATATTTTTTGAATGCACTGAACTATTTGATAAGAAAATTTCCCCATTGAAGTTTTGGTAATGTTTTAACTTAGTTTATAAACACTGGGCCTGGAAAATCCTAGGGGCCGAGGATAGAGAGAACAAATGCTTAAGAGAAAGGAAGATTTCTCTCATTTTTTCTTTGTTCATATACTGTTTCTTCTTTTTAAAAATCAGTTTCATTGAGATAAATTTTATTTTATTTTTATTTTTTTAATATTTTATTTATTCAACAGAGAGAGAGACAGTGAGAGAGGGAACACAAGCAGGGGGAGTGGGAGAGGGAGAAGCAGGCTTCTCATGGAGCAGGGAGCCCAATGCGGGGCTCGATCCCAGGACCCTGGGATCATGACCTGAGCTGAAGGCAGACACTTAACGACTGAGCTACCCAGGTGCTCCTAGATAAACTTTATTTATGATAAAATGTAATCATTTTAGTTCTATGCGTTTTGACAAATGTGTACCTGCGTGATATAGAACGTTTCCAACACCCCCAAAAGCTCCCTGGTGCCCCTTCTCTGTCAATCCCTGCCTATTCCTGGCCACAAGTGACTAATAACCTGCTTTCTGCCAATATAGGCTAGTTTGCCTATTCCAGAATTCCTCCAGTTGTTTGTTTACCCATTAAACCTGTTGATTGGCATATGTAGTTTCCAGTTTGGACTATGATGAAGAAATCCATGAACACTGTTACATAAGTCTGTGTGAACGTACATTTTCATTTCTCTTGGGAAGTCCTGGGTTTTAGGATAAGTAAACGTTTAACTTTTTGTAAGAAACTGCTCCAAAATGGCTTTACCATTTTATACTCTCTCCAGCAATGGATGAGAATTCCAGTTGCTCTATATGCTCTCAAACACTGGTATTATCAATCTTAAATTTTGCGTATTCTGATGGGGGTCCTCTCTTTTCTACGAAATGAGAAATGTTTGTTGAAAGAGGACAAACATTCTTAGATTCATGTTACTAAATGAGCAAGTTTCTATCCATAAGACACCTCTCTCTCCTTTGTCTCTCCTCTCCCTCTGTCTGTCTGTTTCTTTCTCTCTCTCTCTCTCTCTCTCTCTCTCTCTCTCTCACACACACACACACACACACACACACACACACACACACACACCACCACCACCACCACCACCACCACGTGGAGAGGGGGCCTTCTGTCTCCGTGGGAAACAAAACCATTGTTTCTCTTAGGATGGACTTTCTTTCTCAAAGGCACGACTTAACCGCATGCCCCTGCTTCAAGACCAGCGCGCTGCAAACTCTCAGGCGCCGCAAGGTTTCCCCAAAGAGCTCTCACGCCGCCTCTCAACTGCTCTCCTCTCTACCAATAAATAAAAATTGTCCTTGCAAAGAGCTGGGTTGTGGCTGCGCTGGAGAGCTCCAGCTAGGAGCTGCCTCTCTGAGGCTGCCTCTCTGATCCCTCCCGAACTCTCCCTTTTCCCACCCAGTTTGGATCCGAAGACATTCCAGGCTTCGGCGCAAGTTCCCCGGAAAGCCCCAGGGAACGCGTGGCTCGCGGGCACCCCGGGCACCCCTGCAACCGGGGCATGGGGCATGCTCAGAGGGCGCGCGGGCGGCGCAGGCGTTGGCTGCAGTGGGGCCCAGGAGCCGGGAGGTGCCGCTGCGTCCCCGCTTCCCGGCGCCTGACCCAGCGCGCAAAGTTGGGCTGGAAGCCGCCGGGGGAAGGAGGGACCGAGCCAGCGAGGGTGGCGGGGAAGCGGGGCGGGAGGAGGAGGGAGGAGGGGAAGGAGCGGGTGGGGGGGGCGCCGAGCGTGTGTCACTCGCGCTCTCCCTCTGTGTATAGAGGATGTGCTGAATGGTGCGCTTCGAGGCGGCGGCGGAGGAGGAGCAGTACCCGGCGGCAGCTGGCAGCCTCGGCAGCCCGGCTCGGCTTCCCTTCGCCCTCCGAGGCTCCGCAGCCACCGCGGGCGCCCGACCCCGCGTCCCGCCCGGGGCATGGCCCGGCGCCTGGCCCCCGCGCGCCCCGCTTGCTGAGCCGCGCCGTAGGAGGTGCGGAGGCCGGGAGGCCGGGGGAGGCCGGTGGGAGAACAGAGTCGAGAGCCTCGCGAGCCGAGAAAGGAGCCCGCGCCCCGCGCCCCGTCCCTGCCGCGCTCGCCCGGGCCGCCCGGAGCCCCGATGAGCCCAGATGGCCGGGGCTCAGCCCGGAGTGCATGCTTTGCAACTCAAGCCCGTGTGCGTGTCCGACAGCCTCAAGAAGGGCACCAAATTCGTCAAGTGGGATGATGTAAGTCGGGGGCGGCGGGCTGGGGGCGCCAGCGGGGGCGCGGGGCACGGGGCCCGGCGCGGGGCGGGCGGCGTGGGGGTGGGGCGAGGGGCGCGTTATGCAATGGGCGCCCCGGATCGGGCCGGGGCGGCCTCGGGGCGCGCGGGGTGGCCACTGCCGAGGCGGCTGGCAGAGAGCAGCGGCTTCGCGCGCGCTCCTGGGCTCCACGGATTCAGGAGTTGCCATCCTTGCTCGGTCTGGCAGGCGCCCCCTGAGGGTCTTCTCTCTTTGGGGCCAGTGGAGCAGGAGGGGCAGGCTTTGCCAGGGACGGTCCTGAGAGTTTGGAAAGTGTGAAGTTGGGACCAGCTGGAGAGCGCTGGGGTGTGACCAAGACGCGCCCCTCTCCGCCCGCAGACGCACCCCCCCATTACCTCTTTTGCCCCCTCTCCAGAAGGAACGGCCTTGAAGTCCGAAACTGTTCAGTAACTGCTAACCCCCCTGGCGCTCTTATGGGAGCCCACGCGGCAGAGAACACAGCGATCCAGCCGACAGGTGGTCGCTGATGCCAAACTTCAGCGCCTGGCTCGGGAGTGAGGGGCCTTGTGAAGGGCCGGTGAGGACACAACTGAGGAGGACTACAGGGCAGAAGCGGGAGCACTGAGGGGTCTAGGAGTCCTCAGTGGGCCTGCGGGCAAATGAGGAGGGCTAGTGTTTTGGGGGGAACTGAGCTGGCTGGAGTCCTCAGCTCGAAACAGACCCGGCAAGGCATTCCCCCACCATTTATGTACCTCTTTTGCCAAGTGGGGCAGAGCTTAGCCCAGACCCGGATCTCCAGGATTTCACATGAGCCCTGGACCCCCGGACTTCAAGTGACACCCACCCCCCACCATTGCCTTCACACACTTTTATAATAATCTTGCTGAAAACATGGGAATCTTCAGATGGAGGACATTTTCGTACCAATTTATGTGTCCTGGGTGTCATTCAAAAGGTTTGATAAGAACAACCCACTGGGATCAACCTGAGCTGTCAGGATCTAGAGAAATTTAGGTCCAAATGAGGAAGACGTCTCTTAAACAGGAGGAATTATCAGAGAATAAGGTGTTCTTGCTGAAAAGATTTTCCACCTAGTAAATTATAGCCTGTTATCCTCCAGGGTATTTTTCTTTAATCTTCTTAAGCCATTTTCCAGTGTCTGAAAACAATTTAAATATTCCAGGTAGCGAATCCAATTACTTAGCTGAGTGAGTCTGTGTCTATATTTTGTCCAGTTGGAAGTGTAAACGAAACTTGGAGTATGAGCCACAGCTTCCTTGAAAGCTAATGCTAATTATCAAATGCTGTAGGCAAGGTTGTAAACCTACATCCTTTTACTGAGGACTTTACACTTCTCTTCTTCCGTCCCACTGTAATGACCGGATGTTTTTGTAAATGGAATAGAATCTAAACAATAAGTTCAGACACAGATTAAACGCTTTGTTTGTGTGAAGGGAAAACAACAACAACGAAAGAGAAAATGCAATTCAGCAACGAATGAAACAGTCTTACCCATCTTGAGGTCTCGAATAGAGAGCGGATGTGATGAGCAAGAGGGTAAGGGCGGAAGGAAGAGAGAGAGAGAAGGACTTTACAGGATATAAAAGGGTATTCCACCATAAGCTCTGGATTTATTCACAGTGATGATTTTATTTTATTTTATTTTATTTTTTTTAAAGATTTTATTTATTTATTTGAGAGAGAGAATGAGAGAGAGAGCATGAGAGGGGGGAGGGTCAGAGGGAGAAGCAGACTCCCTGCCAAGCAGGGAGCCCGATGCAGGACTCGATCCCGGGACTCCAGGATCATGACCTGAGCCGAAAGCAGTCGCTTAACCAACTGAGCCACCCAGGCGCCCTTCACAGTGATGATTTTAAACAATGGTCCAGAATGTCGTATTTGGAAGAAGATAAGCAGCATCACTTTAAAAATGAGGCTCTTCTACGGAACACATTTTGATACATCTTGGTAGATGATTTTTATTATGTGCATTCATGGCATGTGTATTTCTTCCTTACCTACTAATGCCAGGCCCTATCCTAGCTCACGAGGTGGTGATGAATGTAGACAGAATCTCTGCTGTTACAGACCTTACATGATAGGTGGAGGAGACAGAAAATGACCGAGAACACCGATCATATAGAGATGAGGAGTGATGCAATGAGAGTGGAGAGGCCACCAGTCAGACACCACCTGAAGAAGGTGAGAAGCGCTCCTCCTGAGCACAGCAAGAGTGAGTTTACTGGGAAACCCTACAGGAAGGATGTAGGCACTAAAGAGCGGGAGCCTCGAGAATCTCAGATCTTCTATAGGGAAGAACCTAGACTGCACCCAGGAGTCACGTTATCAGGAATATGATGAACTCTCCTGCAAGTTCCTTGGCGGGCTGTCTCCGCGGTGATCTTGAACGAAGAGGAGACCAGACTTTCTCAGGTCCCCTGTATTCTCCTCAGGTGGATACAGGTGACCTAAGTTCACATTTGAACCTGGGTTCCAGTTCATATTTGCCCTTCCCAAATCAAGCCAGGTTAGGTGATCTGGCTCATTATATTGCATCTTAGTGATACTTTATGAGGAAGACAGAAGAGAACTAGATTTTGAGTCCAAAGGCTTGAGTTTACCTGCTGATTCTCTTGCCAGTCAGCTGTGTGACTTGAGGTTAATCACTTAACTTTTCTGAATCTTTGCTGCCTCTTGTGCAAGACTTTGAGAATGCTACATTTTTTTAAACCTGTTCTACATATAGTGGTTGGGAGTAGCCAGTAGGATAAAGCGGCACTTCTCACAATTGGGCATGCATCAGAATCATAAGAGGGGGCTTGGTAACTCTCAGATCGCTGGGTCCCACCCTCGATTTCTGATTCAGAAGGCCTGACAATCAGCAGTTTTCATAAGGTCTTGAGTGCTGCTGAGGCTGCCAGTCTGGGGAACCACACTTGGAAACCACTGAGATACGGTTGTGAAGTAACTTAAAAAGTATGATAGATAGCTCCCGTGATCTTGTCAGCCTGAGTCAGTTTTTGCGAGTTTGTGATTTTAATTTTATCTCTATGTTTGTCTGTTGAGAAATTCATCCAATTGTTATCTTTCTAAGAGGTAGAAGGACCTCAATGACGGAATCATGGACCATCTTTTTAGCTCTTATGGCATATTTTGTGAAGTGTCTCGGATGCCTAGGCTGGCTTAATTCACATCCATACGTGTCTTTTGAATTTCCTTTATGCAATGAAAAATTTTCAACATTGTCGCCTGCTTCTGGTGGGACTGTTAGGAAGGGAAAGAGAAGCTAGAGGATTTTTGAGAGGCCTTCTTGTCTGTCTTTGAGCAGGGGAGACTGCTGTGTTTCTCCTTTTGGCTCTGACTTTGGGAAATACTTGCATCCCCCCTGCCCCAGGGGTGCATCCCCACCTGCTTGTCTAGGGGAAACGTAAGTGCTGGAAATATTTTTAAAATCTCTCAAATATCTGATCTCCCTTAAAAACTGTAGAACCCTGCTCTCTGGTCCTTAAGAAGAAAGATGGGCAAACTCAGAAAACAGATTCTCAATAGCCCCTTAGAAAGCATAATAATACATTTGAAAATGATGAGTATGGGGTGATTTAAAGTTGTGGTGAGATTATCTCTTGTTCCTTGAGTGGTTAAAACACCATAATCACCCATCCTCTTTTTCTGCCCACCATATGGAATGGAAGATGTCACCTAGCAGGTGCACTTGCCCTGCATAATCTGTTGGCTGCCTACCGGCTTCATGGCTGTGGCTTCATGGCTGTGGATGCTCGGAGGGTGGTAGTCAAAAGCTTTGATGTAGGCACTAACCAATCACAACAGACAGTAGGTGGGCGATGGAGTGGAGGCAGGGTCTCAGAGAACTCCCTCTTGCACCAGGACCAGGCACTGGCCTTTCTTTGACCTGATCCTGAGGAGGGCTGGGGATCCCCAGGGTCTGTGGGGCGTGTAGAATTATTTCAAAGTTTGAACAACTAGTATTAGCGTGTATAGTCAGAACATCAAGGCCAGCAGATCCAGGACTGACCTATCTTGGTGATCTGTTTTACCAATGGTATCAAAGGATGCAACTTTGTCCTTGCTTTTATTTTGCATTTGTATATTCTGAGCCCCTGTAGTGGAGGGGGGCGGTGTAAAGGGCTGTGGGTGTTGTGGGAGAGTTCTGGTGAGATGGAGGGGGGTGGGGGTTCCTTTCTGCATCTGTTAGGGAGCTTGAGAGATTGTGAGTCTGGCCCCCTTCTCTCCTGGTGGTTGGCCTTGCTCTGTACTGGAAAGTATGTGGAGGAAAAGAGAAAGGCTAGAAACCCTACAGTAGGCCCTCCCAGCCCCTGATTTGTGCCTGTGTAAGTTCCCAGGACCTTGTCTCCTTGTTCTACAACCTCTAGGACATGGAAGACTTCTCATTTGTTTGTTCTTTCTTTTTCTCTACTCTTGCCCTCCAAATTCCAAGCTCACTGTAAGTTACTTAATGCACTTCAACCTCAGGTTCCTCATTTGTGGTGTGAGGATTGTAATATTTCCTGCTGCATGGAACAGCTGTTAAGGTTAAGTGAGGGGAGGCACATGCATTGTTTTGCATAGTGTCCAACACACAGGAAACCCTTAATAAAACACAGTTTTAAAAATTATTGTCCCCCCAGTAGAGGGCCATGAATTTTGTCATAGTGGCCAGTGTATGTTAGATGACTCTTTTATTCTATAAGTGGGAAGATCCAGACCTTTAATGTATTTTGTTGCCTTTAATGTGGGCTTTGATTTTCATATTTTATAATTAGAAAAAGAAAAAAAATCACATTTTTATCCTTTTTAAAAAAATTCAGGTGTTTCAGAGAAAGTGAATCTATATAAAAAGCAGGACACATTTTCTTTAAAGCAAGTCAGTTTAAAAAGCATCCAAAAGCTTTATTTCTACTTAAATTCTTAAAATACTTACATATATATATATGGAAGGAGGAAGCAATTAAACAAAACTCTTGTAA